TTGGATCATTTTCATTTGAAATATCTTGAACAATAACATTCGTTGAAGATTTTCCAAGTGAACTAGAAGATTTTCGATGTTCACTTGATGATGGTGTTATTGAACGTGATGAATCATCACATGAACCATCATCATCATCATCAACCTCATTACTCTCATTATAATTTTCATCATCATCAGTATAAGCTCCATCACTAGTTGATGATATAGAAGATGTTGATACTTTTCCTTGTGTTACTTGTTCAATTAATACTAAATGAGGAAAATCATATTGACCAATTGCTCGTTCATTTGTTAATGGAGGAAATTCTTCTTCAGCTTCACCATCATCATCACCAATATAAAGAGAATATTTGGACGGATCTTTTTGACTATATAAGAAACATGGTTAGAATTTACTAAGAGAAAAATTATGAGATCATCGAATACACGAGACATTCATTTTAAAAAATGAAAAATTTTTCCTTTACTTTTTCATGTATTCAATGCATTGTTGTCTAAAACTACTCTCTAGTCCCTTACGGCTGTACTTTATGGTCAATTTTTCGTAGGAAAAAATTTCTCTGAAATATATTTGATTCAATGTAGTTTGTAATGTTTGTCACATTCATTCTACTTTACAATCGTATCATGACAATGAAAACTGTTTAAAATGTTCTTTTTCTATCAAAAAAATCCTCAAAACTCACTATCTAGAAGAAAGATGTGAACCTCATGTCGTCCCGGATGTACCATTTTGTAGAGCATAAAAAATTGTATAACATACTCTCTGATTCTGAATTCCGGTTGGAAATAGATTCTTATAAAATGAGTATTTTGGATTCATGGTGGTAAAAAGTGGGTATTGACTAGTTTTTGAAGGAAAGGCTATCGGAAACTAAAAATTTTGAGATTAGTAGTTTCAAATATTGATGTATTCAATGCGCAATCGACGTGCCTCGTATACCCGATGATCTCATGGAAATTTTCTGAAAAAAAAAACTTTAAATTAATTTACGTTAGAATTGGTTCACGATTCTCCATTGTATATTTATAACAAGCAAATCCAATTGTTTCTGTAACTGTAGCATTTGAAGAAACAATAACAGAAAGTTTTTGTTTTTGAAATTTAAAATGAACAGTAAATTTTTTTGCTTGATTTGAACTTATATTTGGCTAAATGGCAAAAAAAAAATATAAGAAAAGTAACAACTAATTATTTTCATAATCATTATGATAAAAAAACAACAACATACTGTTCCATCAAATTTTGCATAATTTGCAAATGGATTTTGTTTACATGTTGTTGATTGAATAAGAGCTGTAAGAGGTGATGGTTGTTTTAGAGGTAAAATTGGTTCTGTACGACGTTGAAATAAAGATGTAGAATCATCAATATCATTTTCGAAATCAAATAATTCATTTGAATCTATTAAATTAGAGAGAAATTTTTGTTTTATTTGTTGTTTTTTTTTTAGTATTACGTTTATTATTCGTTTGAGCTGTAGATGGATCTTGCCATGAAATAATTTTTACTGTCCGTTTAGCTTCATTTTCAGTTTTGATTTCACTAAGTCGACCCAATGTTTCACAACGAACTCGTCGAACTATAAGAAATCGAATGTCTTTTTGTTTCTTTTTTTCTATTGATTATATTTTATTAGAATCAGAATATTTCTTAAAAAAAGAAAGCTTTTATTGTTTATTGATCTGCATGCAATTATATGTATAAGAAAAGAAGAGTTGAAAAATTTTCATAATTAAGATATTTTAGTATTTCATCGAAAGAACATTAAGCTGATCTAGAGTTTGTCTTCAGATCCTATTCATTCTCAAACCAAAATGGAAAGAAAATTTTAAAAGCTCAGAAATAATGTTGAACTCAAATTTTTAAGATCAAAATCCTAAAAATCAGGCATATTTTGACGTCAATCTATTAATTAAAGTTTCGATTTTGCGAGAAATTAATTATTTAAGGGGGGGGGGGGAGTCTGCTATTGCGGAGAGAAGTTTACTAAACGGAGCAGGATGGCGAACTATCCCAAATGACACCCGCCATTTGAGACCCATAGGCAAGTTTCAGTGAGATTAGCAAAAGACTAAAAGGCTTCGTCCTCATTGACCTTTGACGCCAGGTTATGACCGGTTTACTAGAGTTTTTATCAAATTTTACCTATAGATAAAATTTTAGATCGAAATTCTATTATTTGATTTTTTCGAGACCTATCTACTTCACTGATCATAACTCAGTGACAAACCCTTTTAGGCTTTTACTAATCTCATTGAGACCTGCCTGTGGATCCAAAATGAGCTCAAATGGCAAATGTTAGTCCCGTTTATATCTAACATACATAATAGCTACCTTCATAAATGATCAGTCGAACAAATAGCCGAAGATATTAACAATAAGTAATCTCTCAACATGACAGGAAAATAGACATAAGTAGTATGTAGTACTCAACAATATTGCTTAGTTGTTCTAATAGTTTTTGTTTATAGTCAATACCCAAAATGTTTTGTTTCTCATTGATTAGACTTTATATAAAAGAACAAAAGAAGAATACTATTCTATTCATATTAAATATTTCCTTCATATATATATAACATGATAAATTCTTTGTTTGATAATAATCATAAACATTGTTTATAATCAAAAAAAAAAGAAAATATAATATATTTATATTATAGATCAAAAAGTTACATAAATATTTTTTTATTTGTTGTGGTGCATTGATAGATTTTTCTATATCTGTTGCTATTGTGAAAGTTTTTAGTAAGCAATATTGACAACAATTCAGATAATGAAGCATTTTGTGATGTTTTATTTTTGTTAAATATATCATTTGAGCAGCATAGAATAAAAGAGCTTACGATGAGAAATATGTTTATTTGTATAATCTTCAAATAGATTATTTGATCAATAAGATCAGAACTGAGTATGATAATCTCAGATTTATTAAATGTAAAAACGAACTAAATAAAGATCATATAAACATACCTTGAACATTAGCTGTTGTCCATTCAGGTGAATGGGATAATTCATCAAGAATAAAATCTTGTTCTGTTCGAAGTGTATTTAATAAATCAGTTTTTTCGAGACTAATTCCTTTCCTATTTAAATTATAACGTAAGAAAAAGAAATTTTTTTTTTGTTGTTTAGAACGAACGATTTTGCTAAATTTCTTCGTCTTTGCTCATTGTCAACTTCTTGACTTATAATTTTGTCGCATAATTCTGAATCATCACAGACAATGAAACCTATTAATAATAATAATAATACAAATCAAAGAACAAAAGAAATTATTTATGATTTACCATGACGTATGCGTCTTAATATGACTTGTAAATCGCCACCGCCAAGGCTCATTTTTTTATTTTACCTATCTAGAAAAGTATTTCAAATCATAGAAGTTCATTAAAAAGTTAATTATTATTTAGTTTATGTAATAAAAAGAATTGACTAACTGATTTATTACGAGACGGAATTTTTTTTCTTATCTAAATATTTTATTTGTTTTTCGTTTGTTGTCAAATAATGATAAAGCATAAAAAGTAAATAGCAAATTTTTTTTTTCAATCAGATAAAGACATAAGACTCATAGCTTCAATATGTTGTTGTTTTTTTATTTTGATCTTTCAATGTAATGTTAATAACAAGGTTAGTATATGAAGAGTAATAAACTGCTCTAGAACAGAACGGAACAGAACAGAACATTACCAATCATGTTTTATATAAAAAAAAAATGCGACTTTAATTGTATGATTCATAATTTGATTAGTAATTGGTTGGAAATTTTTTTTTTGATATTGATAATTATTTCTAATAGAAAAATTTATAATTAAAACAATAGAATTTAAAATAAAAGATATATCATAAGATTTATATTATTTGCAGTTTGGTATAAGTAAAAATAATCATAGATGGCATTAGTCGACATATATATATATTTTTAAAGGAAGCTTTAATCATGTCACTTAAATCGCATCTTAGTGCATGAATATTTTTGAAACTTTTAAAAAAAATTTTACATTTCAGTCAATATCATGATTTCATATTATAGTGAGCATGCTCAACTCGCCTATACCAGCTACGTTGTCGTTTAGTTTTCGAGTTTGATTATTTATTAAAAAAGATGATGCTAGAAAAATTGTCATTAACTAGCTAGAAGACTTAATTAATAAGAAAAAGTATGGCGTCATGTGACACAATATACTGTGGTATATTGTAATCGACTTTTTTTGAATTGAAATCAATCTCTTCGAAAGTGAATATATTAATTTAACAGATAAATTATCAGAAACTTGATAATAAGAAAGGAGTAAACTGTTCGAACTGTCAATTTTGTTGAAAAAATTGACAACATAGGTACGATATCAGAAAATTTGAATTCAATGAAGAAAAAGCGAATCCTGATATCCTCTATATCATCTGTGTGTATCAAACGTGATATTATCAGTTCGACCTTCTGAAAATATCAGAAAACGTTGGCTGATCAAATTTCATTATTTCTTTGTTCAAATATCATATACGAGTCCAGCATGAGAGCCCAGAGAGATGCGTTTCTTCCGAAGTTTATGATTATTGCACTAAGTATTATGTGTCTGTCCTCTCAAAAATAGGTCGTCGCCTTCTCGGAAGAGAAAATCTACATACAACATTGTATTAGTCCTTCAAAAATATTCACAATCTTGATAATATTATGAAATAATAGAAACTCTTAGACGGAAGATAGTAGTAAATAAAGTGCGTCAAAGTCAGTAAATATCTGTTAGTGCAAGTTCTGCGAGATTCAAAATGTCAAATATGATGTAGCTGCTGTTGATAATCTCAGTAGGATTATTTTATCCTATCTAATTTGCGACACATTTCTTTACCATCCTCTTCAGAAATGCAATAAGAAAATGATTAATATATTATAACAAGGCATTATTAATATATAGTCCTTGATCGTATATAAAAAACTAGTTGTTTTTTTTAATATAAAAATTCGCAAAAGTTTATTTTTTCTTCTTATATTCATTTAATTATTAAGTGTAGCATATTCACAATTTTGATTACAATGTCTAATATATGCTCCAGTTTTTTTATCAATATCAATTTTTCCCAAACATTTCCAACAAAATTTTTGTCCACAATAATTTTGTCCACCATGATCACATTTACCTTTTGATTCAATACATGTATGTGTTCCATATCGACAACATGTCATTACATCACATCCTTCAAATTTCATAATTGGTGTACGACATGATTGATTTGGGCATTGTTTTGTAAAAGCAAGAACAGTTACATCTGATGCTAAATCAGGATTGAGAGTACGTTCTCGATCAAATTCATCACATGTATAACCTGTATGCCATTCAATTGCATGTCGAAAACATAATGGTTGATAACATGCATAACATGTATAATATCTATACACAAAATAAAAAAGATGAGTTCATACAATAACAAAAAAAAAAAGGAGATCAATTTTGAAATATTGCATACCCAAGTAAATCTTTATAATTTGATACAAGTTGTCCAGCTCCACATCCTTTTCTTGATTTACACCATCGAAATTCTTCATTTGATTCAAGAAATCGATTTAATAAAAGTTTATCTACCACAGCAATTAATCGAGCATCGAGTAAACGATAATATTCCGAAGATTTAAATACCACTTTACATGTAGGCATAGGGCATTCAAAACGATGAATACCTTTTGCAGTTATACCATTAGAAATATTTTGTGTAAGACATGGAATACAACAAGCTGCTTCATGTTGACATTGTTTTGAAAGAGTAACCAAAGTAAGATTATCATCATTACATATTGAACAAGTGCCTTGACATTCTTTTGGAAAAGGAGATGATTCTTTGGGAACAACAGATTCAGATGGTTTTATATCACGTTTTTTCGACTAAAAGATTATTCAATGGTTACAAATAAAAACAATTTTGTTAACTTACCATGTTAGGACACACAAAAAAAGACTTTCACTTATTATTTTTTAATATTCTCGTTACTTTCTCAAGAATCGTCTGTGTAATGATGTGTATTGGTATTTTTCTTGCGCCGTGTCATCAAGGTAAAAGAAAAGAACAAAGTTGGAAGAAACCATGGTATGACGATAGAAAATGTTAAGATTATGCAAGAAAAACAAAGCATTGTGTAAAACGCATTATGTTTCTTTCCAATGACGCTGACTACCTTTGATAAATAAACAGAAATTGAATTCAAATACATTTTTAAAGATATATAAATTTACTTGAATTGATTCATCTTAGTAAATTAAGCTTACGTTTTATATATAAAATTTCCTATTCTATTCGTTTGATTCATGCATATGTTATTTATGAATGAAAAATGTTGATTAATTTATACTAATAATAAAAATATTGATCATATATACTATATGATAATTAATATGATGTAGTATTTTCGTTGAAAAAGAAGAATGTAGAAAATGTTAAACAAGATTTCTAAACCAAATAAAGAGATCAATGTTGATATATAATTGTCATCTTGTCTAATCATGAAGAATAAATTGCTATAGACACCTCTTGTTTGAAGATGTGCAGGACTAACTTTTTTGCTTTCGGCTATGGCCTTGGTAAATCTTATCTAGTCTTGGTTTCTGTGATTTTAGTTTTTCGGGTTTCGGTCTTGAGAAAACTTTACCAGGATATGATTGTATCACATCTAAAAAAATTCTTTAATACTTTTTCTTATTTATTTAATCGGCAATTAGCACTTTTTTGAATCATCTCTCGTGAATTATGTTCAGATTGATATGATTTATAAGATAAGTCGTTTAAAATCATAAAACCTTTAGTTTTGATTGAGACGAGTTTTTTTCTCGTAGTCTCGGTTTCGGTCTTAGCAGCTTCTTTTTTTCCGTGGTCTAGCACTCCGCCATTCCTATCTCAACATCAACAAAAGTATTTGTAAATAATATATATATTTCGTATTAAAATTTACGTGGACATTTACAATCAATTCGGTGTTAACATGAAGAACCATATCGATGTAGAAAAATGTTGATAACAAATTACAAATTTTATGCAATTTTATTCAATATATACTCCGAGTAGAAAATTTTAAGAATTTAGTATTTCGATTTTATCACCAGGATACCATAAGGTCACCACCAGCTTCCATGGCAGAGGACAATCATATTCATGCACTAATACTGTAACAATCGTTTTGGTTCGTTCATGTAAATAGCTAAATTGTCGAGCATTGCAATCTAATGTAATTGTTACTTCATCATTCGGTAGTGTTTCTAATTTTTCATATTCCGTGGAATATATACCTTTTGTTACTAATTTTCCACGACTCCAACAGCCATATGCAGATGCTAATCGAGCCGATTCTGTAGTCATAATTTCGGATGACTTAATAATGCCAAAGAAAACTGCACTGTCACGAGATGTGTTTATGCAAGATCGTAGATGATGAATGCCAGATGAATACAGAGTAACTCCACAAGTGCTAGAAAATCTGGCTGCATCACTTAATTTTGACATACTGATTGCAGAGCGTCCATCAGCTGACACTATGGCGGGTCCAATAGCTTCTTTGAATCTTTCTACAAAATACGTCGTGTTTTGTGGTACCAAATCGGCAACATTGTTTTCAAACGCATTTATTTTTATGATCTTTATTAAAGATAAAGAGGATAAATTGCTCGTAACTATTTTGATATCTGAGGATTTTTCAATTTCCTTTCGTAATTCTTCAAGCTGTTTTACCCACCGATCAAGATCATCTTCTTTATAGTCATCACTTTCTTGATTTGAACGAAGTTCATCTGATAATTTATTCATTAAATTATTTAATCGTTTCTTTGATTCTTCAGTTAATTGTTTTAAATCAATTCGAACTGTTTCAGCAGCAGATCGAATATTTTCAATAGATTCTTTTTCCCATCCATCGATTTGTTCAAATAATGTTTTGTTAATATTGTCCTGATCAATGTCTCGTCTCAAAATATCATGTTGTTGTCCAATATTGTCCATTTGCTGAGAAAGCTCTTGCCGATGATCAGATGCATGTTTTAGACAAAACCCCCGATAACATCCATCACAAATGAACGTTGCACCGCCTTTATTGCACTTACAACAAGATTTTTTGATGCTACCGCGTGTCGCCATATTGAAATAACGTGTCTTATTCGAAATCGTGAGTCAACTTTTTATTATTTCGTTGCTTCATGTGAGTATTACATTGAATTATGTACCATATCGATAAGAACGCAAAAAAGAAACAAAACCGTGAATCATGTTGCTGCCCACGCTTCTGACTTGACATCTTTTTTAACATTCCTACGAATGTATGTAATATGTGACAGTTATATCAAAGTATAGTTTTAGAAGAAAAAAAGTGAAATTCGTTCAGATAATCTTAAAGTATGATTAACAAGTTTTATTTTCAATGAATTAGATTGATTTATTACTAATTTAGCAAAATGATGTCATCCAAATACCTTCGTTTGATATTTTCGACTGTCAATAGATGTAAGTGTTTCCGTTGCTGACTTTTAATGTTACGCATATATTTTATATAATTGTAATTGAATTGAGCATAATCTATGCATCTCGATTATGTATTATATTTTTTGATGGAGAACAGATTCATTACTATTGCTAACTTCTATGAACAAAAAATACACATAAAATCAGGAACATATTGCAAAATTAATGAAGTAAAACACCATATATGAACACTTGATGGTTTGGAAAAGAAATAGTATGAGGATCAATAAAAGAGATTTATTAATCAAACGTACACGATCAAAATCCAATTTCATTCATGTTAGTGATGTTGTGAAAGTTTCGGTACTTGCTTGAATTTTATTTACCAAACAGAGAAAATTGTATCAACAGTTTTCTGCTAGTATACTTGTCTTATTATGCGATATAAAACTCATATACTGTGTCTTGATAATATCGTATGTAGAAAAAAAAACTAAAGAACATTTTAATTCGTTATTCTTCAAAAGTGAACAATTTTAGTTTTGAATAAAATAGTCTTGGCTATTACAGAACTTTTTCTCAAAATTAACAAGCAATATTGATAGCTTTTGAAGATGTCTTCTTACTTCTGAATAAAAGTTAATTTCTTGAAGTTAAACGATAGTTATACTAGAAAATTTCTTTCATAATCGTTTTTTTGAATATTGGATTGAGCTTGTTTTTACTTTTGATTATTTTGCTAAAAATATACTTGGATCAGTAGTCAGCACAACGAACAATACATGAAAAGTCTGTATAGTTGACAAAGAAATAAGTAACACTTTATGTTGAATACATCACTTTTAAATTATGTTTAGTATGATAATTAAAACTAAATGTTACTGAAAAGTATTTTTACTGTAATATTCATCTTTCAACTATTTCTTATTTTAATTCTGACTTATCGTAATATGTATCAATCGTTTGTATATATAACATATTTTCAATCAAATATTCGAAATATAAAGTTCTTTTAGCCGAAAAATTGTCTGGTCTTTTCTATCAAGTGTTAGTTTTTCGATTAAGAATTTTACAACTACCAAAACGAAATTTTTCTGGCTTATTTTCTTGTTTGTGATAATTGAAACGGATTAAATCATTTATTCACTTGTACACATGTTTAATATTATATTACATCAAAAAAAATAAAAATAAAAACTCGCCTTTCATCTAGATCAGAATAAGTACACTCTTGTTTCGTATATAAAAAAAATAGGAATGATGGGTCTTTGATTGGAACAGATCTATTATACATAAACTTCATAATTATACGAACATAATTGATCAATATTTAAACTAGCTAAATGCCATATTGAATTGTATTTGTTTATGAAATTATATGAAATAATAGTTATTTGTGTTGAGCACATGTGGATTGATGAGATGATGTTGTACGAGTAAACCAACTGTTGTCAAAGCTAATTTTTCTTCTACAGCTGGTCCTCGATTTTGCCAATATTCGCCAAAGACACCATGTGAATCAGCAGGATTTAGTTCAGAAACAATAAAACCCTGACGAGCAATAGCTACAGTTAATCGATGCATATCTTGATCAGCAATCATTACAGGTATAGGACTATTATATGGTGGTTCCTGGAAATGTTCAACAAACTCACTAAAAGTGTCACGAATGCTTGTGCTATTTTTCTCTACATCGATAATTGGTAGAGCAAATACGATTCCACGGATATTTTTATAACTAGATCCATCTTGTTCAAGTACTGCTCGAATGGCTATTGCAGCGGTTATTCGTACTGTTTCATCGACTCCAATATGTTCACCAGCAAATACACCAAGTCCAATACCTGTTTCAACAACAATTTGAACACCTTCTGCATCGCATGCTCGTAGTCGTAACCTAGCCATATGCATTAAATCGTGCAGAAGACGCTTTTGATGTAGTTCACCTGCTGGACATAATTTCTTTAGACGAAAATCCCTTTCGTTAAGTAATGCTGGTTCATCTTTTATATGACTCATCTCATAGATTTCTCTCCAATTCGATACATAGTAAAGAATGTCGCCTACATCATGTTTTCGACCGGCAAAATCAATACCTGTCACTGAAACAAGTTTTATTCGGTTAGGCCAATTTTCATTTAAGTTACGACATATAATTTTAGCGTCGAATTCCATCAAGATTGGACATGTTGAAATCCGTACAACAAATTTCATACGAAAGGCTTCTTCACCATCTTCACTCTTTCCTTGTAGAGCACGCTTAAGAAATTCTTTGTTCATACCTCTAATATTGTTATCAGCATAAACTCTATATGAACGTTGCCAATTCATGATTTCTTGTACAGACATGGCAAATGAATTGGTGGTGTTGGAGGGAAAGCGAATTTCTGTTTCTGGTTTCAGAGAACTCACACTGTTATCCAATTTAAATGATCTTACACCTTGAACAATATATTCTCCAGGTATGTTTCGGAAACCGAATGTTTGGGAAAGAAACTTTTCCATTTGATCAGTTTGATGACCGCATGAACCACTCATCGGTCCATTTTTATTCATAGGATCAAGTCGCATGAGATATTCGAATAACTGCTGTATAACTTGATTACTAGATTGATTAAATCCAAATGTTAGAGACGGATAAAAGCTGGATTGAGATGATGATATATTCACATTAGCTATTGATTCGGATTTATTTAATGCAGCAGAACTATCTGACGGTGATGTGCTAGATGGAGCCATTTTGCTTGATCTGTTCTCACGACGACTTTCAGTTTGAGGAGATGGATCCGTTTGATTTGGTTCTATCTTTTCTGAGCTTTTTATCTTTATTAGACGAACAATTGCTGAGTCATCTTCCAGAAATGACTCAATATTGGGTGGTATTTGCAGCTCCTTTTTCAATTCTTCAATTTGTTTTGTCCATCGGTTCAGATTATCTTCTATATATTGATGGTCTTTTTGATTTTTATGAAGTTCATTCGAAAGTTTATTCATGATACTAATCAATCGATTTGTTGATTCTTCAGTTAATTGTTTTATGTCCGTTCGAGCTGTTTTGGCCGTGGATCGAATCTTGTTAATCGTTTCTTTTTCCCATGTATCGATTTGCTCTAGTAATATCTTCTCAATACCTCGTTGACTTAGTTCTCGTTTGAGCGAGTCATTTTCTTCACTAATATTGTCGATTGTTTGATAAAGTTCTTGTTGATGTTCAGTCAGATGTTTGATACAGAATGATACATGACATCCATCACATGCAGATGTAAGACGATCTTTGGTACAACGATGACAAAGTTTTGGAGTACTGTTTAATGTTGACATGTCGATATTATCCGTTTTTTATTTCAAAAGAGCAGACGTTTAATTTCTTTGAAACTCTTGAGAAAATGTTGCTTTTGCAATTTTCACCGAATAAAATAAAACGTTTGACAACGTGCATGAATCATAATATTTTTATTTCTCTTTTTCTATAGCGCGACGAGTAGATTGCATTGATTGATAAGAACGCAAAAAAAATAGTATGAAAGAAAAGAACAGCAAACATTTTAAAAAAAGAAAAAAAAAACTATAATGTCATGTGTTTCGAATCTACCTATCTTTGTTACTGTTTTAGTTGAAAAAAAGAAATATGGCTCAGTACCCAAATAAATTATAGGTTTAATTGCACACATGATTTCATGATCACATTCATTGTCTTACAATACAAAAAGAAATTTCATTTAGAACCCTATGTTGAACGGAATAATTCGAAGATGGCAATGCTTTATTCACAGCAAAACCGACTAACTAAATATATTTCCTTCCGTTCAATTACAGGAAATAGTTTGTTTTTTCGTATTATTTCTTAACTGTAAATTTAGTTTGTCAATTATATTTCTTCCTTCAGCAGCCGACTAAGACAAACAAAACTTCATTCGAAGTTGGATTTTCTTTATAAATGTTAGTTCAGAAGTTTCAATCTCTCTCTGTCAAATCGATGTTATCTATATGAATACATATATAGATATTTGATTGACATACAGAATTTTGTAGAGAAAGATTAAAGCTGTTCTCTGAAAAGAAAAAAAATTTGAATTCTATTGAGATCATGTAAAGTTATGATTGCTTTATTAATTATGACTAAGTCTTTTATATTTAACTTTACATGATTCAATAGAATTCGACAAGCTGTACAACAATTTGAATATCGAAAAAAAAGTAAATTTTCATCCTGTTTTCAATATGATACTTGAAGGAAACCAGACCGACTAATAAAAATCTCACATCTATTGCATGAGATAGTATGCTTAGTTTTTAATAACTTTAGTTGATCAACTGTTGATTAGTATTCCGAGATGCAGTGTCATATACTGAATTTGAAAATAACCCTTTCGAGTCGCACGAACAGTTGTAACAGTCGACTAGCTAAAGTTATTGAAAGTTCGGCTTACTCACTCTCTCATGCTTGATGCATGAAATTTTTATCAATCTTTCTAGTTTCCTTCAAATTTTGTATTGCAAACGAGATCAGAATTTTTTGATATTCATATTCTTGTAGAGCTTGT